ATTTCAGTGCTTGTGATTGGTCTGTTCATATTTTCTATTTCTTCCTGATTCAGTCTTGGCAGTTTGTGCATTTCTAAGAATTTGTCCATTTCTTCCAGATTGTCCATTTTATTGGCATAGAGTTGCTTGTAGTAATCCCTCATGATTTTTTTTATTTCTGCAGTGTCACTTGTTACTACTCCTTTTTCGTTTCTGATTCTATTGATTTGAGTCTTCTCCCTCTTTTTCTTGATGAGTCTGGCTAATGGTTTATCAATTTTGTTTATCTTCTCAAAGAACCAGCTTTTAGTTTTACTGATCTTTGCTATCGTTTCCTTCATTTCTGTTTCATTTATTTCTGATCTGATCTTTATGATTTCTTTCCTTCTGCTAACTTCGGGGTTTTTTGTTCTTTCTCTCTTACTATGTATCTAATAGCACCTCTACTTCCTATGTATCAGACACCATTCTGAGACTTTATCATATTATCTCATTTCTTTCAAAGCCATTGTTCAGTAGGTATTTTGATTCTCATTTTAAAACAACAAGGAAACCAATGCTCAGAGAAGTTAAGAATGCACCCAAGGAAGGTCACATTTGGCATACGGAGTGGAGCCAAGGTTTTATCCAAGCCTGACTAACTCAAGAGCTATACTTTTCATGGCTGTTTTCTATGGCCTTTCATGACTAGTTTTCTCAGGATCAACATGGGATGATCAAGAGCAAAGATTTCTCCACCAGAGACCTCATTTTAAAATCTAATTCTGCCCATTTCTAGTTGAGTAACTTGGGGCTAATTATCTAATCTCTGTAATCCTCTTCATCTGTAAAATGAGGACAATAATTCCCTCCTCATGTGGCTTTAGTCTTAAGCAGAAAATGCACAGTGCTTTATTAGCACATAGTCAACGTTCAGTTAAGAACAGCTATTTTAATTGTTAACATTTTTATTGGCTTCATTGTACTTTTTTTTATAAATTTATTTATTTATTTTTGGCTGAGTTAGGTCTTTGTTGCTGCACGCGGGCTTTCTCTAGTTGTGGCGAGCAGGGGCTACTCTTCATTGCAGTGCGTGGGCTTCTTATTGCGGTGACTTCTCTTGTTGCAGAGCATGGGCTCTAGGCATGCGGGCTTCAGTAGTTGTGGCTCGTGGGTTCTAGAGCACAGGCTCAGTAGTTGTGGTGCATGGGCTTAGTTGCTCCATGGCATGTGGGATCTTCCTGGATCAGGGATTGAACCGGTGTCCCCTGCATTGACAGGCGGATTCTTAACCACTGAGCCACCAGGGAAGCCCTTCATTGTATTTTTTATTCCATGCAAAATGCCTATTCATTTCTCTTGTAGATTGCGTCCCTAACTGCAGACCGATTTCAAGTTCTGGAATCCATTATGCACTGATTTGTATATAATAACAGGGGAGCCTCACAGAAATAACAGGAAAAGAAAATTAATTTCAGAAACAGCAGTCCAAAAAAATACTCAGAGGATATGACAAGTGTGGCATCCTTCCTGGGTTTTTCATTTTCTCTACCTTCAGTTTTTTTAAGGGGTCACTTCTCTCCTGATGATCATATCAGCTGCTTCCCTGTGACAGGCAACAAACTAGTATTTCTGCCAATTGAAAGGAACTCTCTCCCATCTCGGTGACCACTGCTTCTCCTTCTCGCATGCTTTATCTCCTTCACCTAAACTTGCCTGGTCCATAATTTACAGCCTGACTGGCTCCGCAGGAATGGTTGCCTTGAGGCCTCGGAGACCTGACTGTGCGTGTGGGCTCCCCTGTAAGGAGGTCTTGGAAAAATCTATCCCAGCTGCCATGTGGCAACACCTAGTACCGTCTGTGGTGACAGCTGTCAGTGGTACCATGTTTTCATCTCTGCCTCTTCCCGAAGCTCAGTCTATCACTTCCAACAGAATACCATGTGCTTAAGCATCTTCTTTCCTGCTGTGGTGGTGTTGTTTTCATGCCTTCTGGGATCATCTTAGAATGTCTTTAGGGCTATAATTCTGGGCCCAAAAGAACATAATCTGGTCAGGGGGTGCATAGGTAGGTCTTCATTTAATTAAAAGGGGGGCCCCAATAGCACAGTTATTGTTTACTGCAGGGGGTTTCAGTCTGGAAACCAGGAGTGGGTACAGCAGACACTAAGCCCACTTCCCTGACTAGCTTTATAGTCCCAGAGAATCACCAATATCCTAGATAAAGCTGTTCACCTCTCAGAGGCAACCTAAAAAGGAAAACACTGGGTCTTTGTTTGGTTTTCATTTGATCACTTCCCTCAACATTAATTGCTGTTTTCACAAATCTGGATCATTACTAAAAAAAAGCCACCATGTAGAAGTCAATGGGGAACTTACTGGTATCATAACCAGCCACCGAAGCAGAAGAGAGAGTAAGGAATCAGGTTTGGCAGGGCTGGGGTGGAGGTGGGAGAGGCACGGGGTGCAGCGGAGGTGGAGCCCCGGCAGGACTTAGAGGAATACGAAGCAGTATTAGGAGTGCTGACCCCACAGGCTGCACTCGCCGCCTCAGTCCTCCATTCTAGCCCTCATCCTAGGCAGATGAGTGGGACAACGTACCACCTCTATCGGGGTTTGCCTGCTCTAGGCGTTTCCAATAAAAGGAGTGTGGGCCACTTTGGGGCCAGGAGCACTGAATCCAGGGTGGTAGCCTGTAGGCTAGAGTGATGGTTTCTCAAGTGTGGTCCACCTGCTAATTCTACAACTTGCTGGCCTCTCCCAGTTTACAAGTCAGAATCTCTGGGGGAACGTGAAGATCATTCCTAAGTACAATAGAATGTGAGGATCACTGAGAGAGAACACACTGCAAATCACTAATCCGGGTAAAATTTTCAAGTATCCATTTTGCACAGAATAATGGCCTCCAAAGATGTCACATCCAAAGCCCCAGAATGTGTGAATATGTTAAGCTACGCGGTAAAGGGGAATTAAGGTTGCAGATGGAATTAAGGTTGCTAGTCAACTGACATTAAAACAGGGAGAGTATCCTGGATTATCCAGGTGGGCCCAAAGTAATCCCAAGGGTCCTTAAATGAAGAGGGAGGCAAAAGACAAGAGGCACGGGAGGTTATATGAGTATGGAGTTGGCCAGAGTGATGCAGTGTAAGAAGGATTCAACTCACTGATGCTGGCTTTGGAGATGGAAAAAGGAGCCATTAGCCAAGGAATGCCAGCAGCCTCTAGAAACTGCAAAAGGCAAGGACACTCCAGAAGGACCACAGCCCTGCTGACACCTTGATTTTAGGCCAGTGAGACCGATGTTGGACTTCTAACCTCCAGAACTGTGAAATAATAAATCTGTGTTGTTTAAGCCACTAAATTTGTACAATAGCAATAGAAAACTAATATAACTCCTATTCATGATAAATGCCTGTATTCAAGATAAATGCCTGTGTTCAATGATATGGATAGATATGATATCACAAACCATACAGTATGGTTTCTGAAAGGTATGGAGTTTAAGGGACTTCCAAGAACATGAAGAAAATTTCCACCTGTTAGAAACAGGTCATCTTTCTAGGCTTAATTTATCTCCTCAAGATAGCTGTGCTGGATATTGGGACATTTACTTGGTTGCTTCTGAAGATCCAGTCTCTACTCTGCTCTGTGCCCTGGTAGGCAGATCTCTATGGACCAGACTCCTTTGCCCTTTGGTTTCCAGCTGGGTTCCCCCAATGGGAGGTACCAGCAGGAGAGTCTAGAGGTCACTCAGGTACCAGCCTTGCACTTGTACAACCCTGAGAGTGAGTCTCTCCTTAAATTTTGTGCTCTAGGCACCTTACTTGCCTCACTCAACAGTAACAATGAGGAAGAAATATGTAAGGGGTCCAGGAGAAGCCTTCCCAGAGTGGGTGACAGCCTGAAAACTGCTATGAGCTCCAACTATAAAGTATCTAGAATTCCTCCCCATTTCTTATATGCCTCCTTCCACCCACAACTACCTGGTGAGCTGTCAGAGGCCATGGTTGAGAAAGTAGAAATGAAAAGTCAAGAAAATACGATCCAACAGTACCAAGGGAAGCAATTTAGTTCAAGCAATTTACCCAGTCATTACATATGCAATGCTGTTATATGCAAATCACATGCAAATATAAATACTACCCTCCATAGGAGGGTAACCATTTTTTGTTTTCTCTGGCTTCTAAAGCAAATTCAATTTGGAAAATAAAAATAGAAAATTACCCTGTGTTGGGATAAAATTTGTTTATGCATCTCACTACCTCTTACGATAACCCCAATAGTATCCATAAGCCTAAAGTAATTTGTTCCT